GCGTGATCCCTCTTCCTTGTCTTAAATACGTGTTTCTTGGAAAGGCAATAGCAACCATAGCCTTAAAGACAGGGACAGTCTCCCTTGGACTGGGCTCTACCACCTGGAATAACAACACAGTCTAGCTCACCTATAGTGCTTTTCATCTGACACTCTCCAAGTGCTTCCAGTGGAGATCAGTGTCATTATTTCCATTTCCCAAGGGAAGCTGAAACATGGGGGACTGTTCCATGGCCATCCAGCAGAAAGGCTGGGACTAGGATCCAGGTCTCAGGTATCCCAGCCCAATGCTACACCCATGGGTCTACAGTGCTGCCTTCTCAAGGAGAAGTGCATTGGACTGCACATCTTGCTGGGGAGATTTTCTGTTCACTTGCTGAGCCTGATCATTTATTTTAGTTTCTGGTCCCAAACATTAATCCTGGAGTGAAAGACTCTTGACTCCCGGTCAAAAGCTTAGCCCACTGAACCATCCCTTCCACTCAGAATATCTTAGAAAAATCCAGAATACCACTATTTAACTTGCAAAAGGAAAATAAAAAGAGAAGGGGTATGACCCATACATGTGCTGCCTTCTCTACATGGGGGAATGGCATGTACTCATGAAGCGTGTGTTGCATCTATCTCCTGTGGCTGACTTGCATAAAGGACAACTGCCTATGAATGTGGTTAGTCCTTTAGCTCAAGCTGTAGAAACATGTGCTTCAACGCAAAAGGTTAAACCTTTAATGGTGGCTTATGTTGGAATCATTATAGGGTCATTTGACCGGTTATGGTGATGAAGTCAGACGTTTTGACATGAAGAGGGAACTATCAATGGTCATTTTTGTATACTAGAAACATCATGATGCAATGAATTAAGACTGAGCCAGAGTTTTGAATTCCTTGGCTTCTGCCTAAATGTACCTTAACTGAAGGACTGTGTGTGATAATGACTCAGGTGGAGGGGACCTTAGTACCTCATTATGGCTATCAAACATCATTACTTTCTTTTTCTCGTCAATTTAAGGCCTTATTCCCTCAGTGGATGCACTGCATGAGGACACACAAGTGCCTATCAGCATCAAGCTGAGGGATGACTCATTCCCACAGGAGCCTGACCCTCAGCTCGGAAGGTGATTTCTATTTAATTTCCTTTGTGTCAACTTTTAAAGGCGGAGAGGTCAATCCATTAGGCGGTCCTCTGCTTCAGCGGAGAGCTAAGTCTGACAGCAATGCTAATTCAGACACCTCTCTGTAGACACAAGTGCCGGTGCCGAAGTTCAGCTCTGCAACTCAACTCCCCCCAAAGTCCAACCTTTAGTGGAGGGGGTAGTGGAGCATCTTCAGTGCTGTGGCTTCCTAGTCTTCTGTACGGTGAGAGCTGAGCCCCCGTAGCAGATGGCCCCAACCCACTACTGGTGAGCACACCAAAAACCCAGGTCTCAAGGGAGGTGCTGGGGCACCCCAAAGGCATCTTCACTGCTTCAATTCTGGGGCTGACAGATATGGAGCATGAGTAGGTGGGTGGTACTCATTGCCATGGTGGTAAGATGGAGCTCTTTGCTGTTACGGTGTAGACAGGACTATCCCTTCGGCAGAGCGCTATTCTCCCAGGCCTACCTTCCCCTCCTGATGCGCCTGGCGAACGTCAACTCCTTTTGTGCCGCTTCCAGGGTTAACTTGTATGAGGTGGTAGCAGTTAAGTGTCTTCATATTTCTAACATGCTCTACCATGCTGACTCCTTGCCCTCCCTGCCACACTTTGCCAGTCTTGTTTATCTAGATCCAGATCCTGCATATGGATACATATGGGGTAGAAATGCACCGGCTAGATGCTTTAGCAAAAATGTAAGCTCTAAGTTATCCAAAGCAGGGTCAGTCTCTTATTATGGGCATGTGAAGCTTGTAGCACAAAGGTCCCCTGACAGAAAATAGAAAGAAGAGGAGATAAGCCATGGCATTTTGGGATCTGCAGGATCAGGATGTTGTGGTTACTGAAGAGAGTCCATCAGAAAATAGTACTTAAGTATTAGACAATGCAAAGTTAACACCCACCAGAGAATGGTCTCAAAGCCAGGGAAATAGCCTTACCACAAGTGCCGGATGGGCATTGAAGTGTGCTTCATGGCCACAAGCGCCCCGCCCCAGTCAAGATACCACACATTGTATTCTTCCTCGAAGATCTGGAAATGAGTCAGGTACAGAGTGAACGTTATTAGCCAACTTAGGCCCAAAGAGTGGAAGATAAGATTTGCAAAAGGCACCCTTTCCCTCTCCAATACATGACTGTACCTGTCTCCATGAGTTCCCTCCATCAGAAGAGACAAACATGCCGATATCAGCATATGACAGTTCGGAGCCGATGTTCCCTGAAACGCAAGTGGATTTGGTAAGTTCTTGGGTGGATGGAAGGGAATCGTGTTTTCAGAAAATCAGGGCTAACAGGTTTGACCAATGGTCTTTACTGCCTTATTTCCAGGGTCATATGAAATCAGTAAGGGCCAGGCTGAGAGATTAAAGTTATGAAAATGCTGCGAAGATCAAAATGGTAAACAGTTCTAAAGTATTCTAAAGTAAAATAAAGTAAAATATTAAAAAGTGAAATTAGGTAAAAAAAAAATAATTACATTTAATTTAATTAAAAATAAAAAAGTAAAATAAAGGCAGCCACGTTGAAGCCAGAGCCAGCTCCCAGAATTTGGAACCCTGGGCTCCGGCCAGCCCCCTAGTGGCTGGGCAGACCCGGGACTAAATTCCCTGCACTAATGTGGAGTAACACATCTACACATGTTAATCCACATAAACTAATCCCACTTAAATTTGGTACTTGGTTTGGGCAGGTATCGAATTTAAGCTAACTTAGTCTACAACTGCCATTTTTTAAGCTCCGTTAAGGGTGCGCACATATAGACACATGCCCCTAATGTAGCTTAAATTGGGCTAATCCACATTAAATGACCATGTGTAGACATACCCATTATGTTCTTAAGTTATAAAGCAGCACAACAGAAGTCTTATACACTGAGTCATCCAGTTCCCAACCCCTAATGCTAAGATTATTTTTTAAAGTAGGGTTTATTTTCCCTGCATTATGAAAAAAGAGCTAATATTTTTTCTTTAAAAATAGCAAAAAGAGAAGATTCACTCCTACACATCTGTAACTTCAACAGGAGCACAATAAAAACACACTAATGAAAATGTTAATTGAGCTCCTGACATTAATATGGCAAAATGAGGAATTAGAGCCCAGATGTATCTTGACATGTTCCCATCAGCATCATAGAATATGGCAAGGCAAGTTGTTGTGACACTCCTGTTTCCAAAAATAAAACCTCAAGAGCAAAATTGCGAGGTGATACAAGAAAGGCTTTGCAATCTGCGCTAACATCAAACTTCTGCAGAACTGTGGTGCATCTGGTCTGGTGTCCTGTCATAGTCAACCACAGCCAGTGTCATCTGCTATAGAAGAAGCTACCAAGAACCCTAAAAAAAACAGTTGTGGGATGACCTGTTCCTTCAGGAGATATTCTTTTTTACCCTCAAGAATTAGAAGTTGGTTTATGGCATCATGCGTGACTTCCAAATGCTGTGTTCATGGGAAATGTTACAGAGAATGAAGTTGGTTATGTGTATTTTCATACCCAAACTTCAACATTTGGAAGCCAGCTGTCCAGTGAGGATTTTGTGGCTGGCAGCAACGGTATGGGAGAGTATGTGAATGTTGGCAGTGTATTGCTACTGCTTCCAGTTGGTTTCCTTTCTGTAGCTATTTCACTATTACCTTCTCCCCTCCACCCCACAATCTCATGTGATTCACAACCACACTAAACTTAACTGAAAGGCCCCTGTACAGAAGTTGGTCCATCCAGGAGTGGAACAAGATGCTGTTTCCAGTGAACTTAAATCTCGACTGGAGCTCCTGCCAGTCTCCTAGTAGTGAAGCTAGTGGAGGGGTGCACTTCCAGACTGTGTCTCTGAGAGTAAGATCAAGATGAATCCTTTGTCTGCACTGATGGGCTGCTACAAGACCAGTGGTTGACACTGGTTAACAGAAACAGATCCATCAATCCCCACCAGGTTAGCCACTTTATTTGCACAAGGCAACAACAGAGAAATAACAAATAAAACTTTTAAAGGTTAATTATTGTAAGAGGGAAGTTTTTACCCAAAGCAATAACAGATGGAAAAGGATCTCATTGTCTAGCACTCCAGACCATTGCCCAAAATCTTAGGGCTCCTATACACGTTTGCGGAACCGGCTCCGACATGCTGGAAATCCAGCTCATTGGAACAGACTCGATTAATCGAGTCTGCTGGAGCCTGGAAATTGACATGCTCTGGCAGCCTTCCATGTCACGTGTTTCAGCGTCCCGGTGCGTCTCCACTCTGAAAAAATAGCAGCAGGGCACTTTGAAATAAAACATGTTCAATGAGCTTTAGTTCAAAATGCCCCATTGCCATTTTTTCAGCACGGGGACGCATGGGGACTCTGATACACATGACAAGTGGGTGCTTTTAATTTGCATGGCTTGCTAATTAAAGCACCCAGCACAAACGTCCCGCAGCATGTGTAAAAATGCTTGCATTGTCTTATGGCCTCTGGCACCTTATGTGCTTCCTTTAAAAAAATTCAGTAATTAAAACTAAAAGTGACTGTGCTCACTGATTTTGCATATGCTCTCTCTAGCAACAGGTAGGCTGTCAGCATTGAAGGTCAGCTTGGACAAGCACAGGGGAGCCTGCGTGTTCAACCCGAATCTGTTGGACCTAGATCATTGAGTTGGAAATTGGATGGTACTTCCCTTGCTAAAAGTTGGGCCATTAACAGTGCAGCCCAAATTCCAATCCCCTTTTGGTTTTACATGAACAGGTAGCACTTAAACAGCACACGTAGAAAAGATCTGCTCTGGCTACTAACCTCTATCCCACTCTGGAGGGTGTGTAATTTGGCATTATTCACCGAAATGTTAGCTGCAGAATAACCACATCTAATATCAAGGAGGAGCACTCTACCCTTTAGCTCAAGAGTGTATTGAGTAGAGCACCTACTTACGAAAAAAAAGACCTAGGTTTAGACCCCTCTCACTTACATCTTCCACTTCCTGCCAAAGTGCCCTAATCACAAGGCTGTAGGCTAAGCAGAGTTAGGGACACCCTCCATCCAGACAATACCCTGGGCATAGGAACAAACAGGACTGGAAGAAATGGATTTAAACCAAATGTCTGCATTTGTCTGTAGGGTATGTAGATCAACATCAAATCGTGCTGACTGAACAGAACCTAACTTAAAGCACCGTGCAATCTGCATTTAAGCTAGTACAATAAAATCACAGAACTGAAAGGACCCTCTGGAGATAACATCTAGTCCATCTGCCTGCTCAAGACAGACCCAGCCCTCTCTAAACCAACCCAGACTCATGTTTGTCGATCCCAAACTTAACAACTTCCAATGGAGGAGATCCCATATCCTCTCTAGGAAACACATACCTGTGCTCAGCCAGTCCCAAAAAACTCATATTTTTCTAATACTGCATTTACTCATTTGTATCCTGTCTCCACTTCACACTAAGAGGTCAGAATAAAAACACCAACAGCAAAACAGAGCTCTGCAGACTGCCACATCCCAGTGGAAATTCATAGCAACCCCACACTAAAATGGAAAAACTTCAAGCTACAACTAACATGAACAGCACAAAACTGGTGGGTAAGGGTGGACTAGCCTAAAAGAACTGGAGTTAACTTAAGACATGTTTAAGCTACAGGACAACCCTGGTTATCCAAACCCCTCTGGAAAGTACCCATGCAAAAACCACCTGGATGGCTGAATTCGTCGTGAGAAGTGAAACAACCACATCTTGTAGGGATGATACATGCTACCACCAGATGCGTAATGCAAAGCCATCCCAAACTCAAAATATGAAATACAGCAGAGGTGGAAAGAGAACAGATGGTTACAATATACCAACCATTCCAAGTTACTAAAACAAAGTTATCTGTCAGAAAGTTGAGCGTTTGGATGACCAAGAAGACAGCGTATTGCATAATAGTATAATCCAGGTGCAGTTCACTTTTATTCACTCATCTGTATAGGCCCATCGCAGTCAACAAGACCACATAGGTGAGTATGTGTGGGACACCAGGAGCGAGGGGTCTGCTCCGGAGAGCATGCGACCATGCAACCATCTCTGTGAAACAGCCTAGCAGCTTGCCCATTACATTTGCAAGCCATCCACATCGAAAGCCATTCAGAAAGCACTTTGTTACCCCCAAACAGCTCCCACAGAGCTAAGCATTGTGGAAGCTTTGAGTAGGGTTGGGTTGTTATGTCCATCCTGATTAAGGTGCCTACTGTGAGCGAGCAAGGGAAAACAAAAACGGCCTGAGATGGCTGTCAGATTAATTACCATGGGTCAGCCATCACTGGCATTCAGAGTTACAACAGCCTGTCATTAAAGCGCTGTGATCTGCCAAAACATGGCTTCGCAGAACAACACCACAGCAATGGCCCTGTTGTTGAAGTGCTCTCCAGTACCAAGGGGCAGAGCGGTTTACGAACTCTATGCAGAGACAAGGAGGACACTGGAAATACCCAAGTTCACAAGTGCGCATACAGGGGTAACTCACATTTCATTAGTGTAAGAAATTACCAGACACATGACAGAGAAAAACCCCAAATAAACCCTTTGCCCAATCTACAAGAGAGTTACTTCTGAAAGTATCAAGCAGTGGAAACGACACCAGTTTCATTTGTATTTCTGCAGCCATTTCCTTAAAGCAAACAGGACATCACCACACCTTGTGGCAAGGTGTGGGACTGTGCGAGTTACTCCAGATTAGCTGCACATCTGTCCATTCCTGAGCCTAGTGTCATTTATAGAAAACCTCTGGAAATCAGACCACAGATCTGTCCATGCCCATAGTTACGCTGTGCCTGAAGCTTAGGCCATGTAAGTTGTACACACCAGCTGGAAACCTGGCCCAGCATCCATCTCACAGGTGTAAATTAAATTCATTCTTCTAAAGCCAATGGGTTAGCACCAGTGTGATGGGTGTATTTACAATTTCACACAAGGATATACATGTCATGGTGGGATATGCACATATATGTCTCATATACAAAAATAGAGCTGGAAGGGACCTGAAGAGCTAGGGGGAAGTTATCTAGTACCATCCCCTGCTTAAGTCATGATTGACCCTGTCTAAACTATCCCAGTGTGTCTAAGCTGTTCTTTAAAATGCCTAAGGATGGAGGTTTCACAACCTCTGGGCAGTCTATTCCAATACCCTTTCTACTTTGGAGATCTCAGCACAACAGCAGACTCTCCCAA